CCACTGAGGTTTTTCGGGTAAAGGATGGGAGGAAGGGATAGAATCCAACATACCGCCCACCAAAATGAAATATTTTCCATTTTCGTTTGAGAATAGTAAAGTAAAATAAAAAAAAATAAGTGAAAAAATGCGTTATGTTTAAAAGAAACTAAGAGTGAAATTTATGGAGTTAAATTTAGAGGAAATTTATAAAAATGCATTATTAGGGTTAATGTATGAGCGTAATTTAATTAAATATTAAGAGAGTTTACATTTGTTATAGAGTAGAGAAAAGTAATTAAATAAGAGATGCGAATTATGTTTATTTTGAGATTATGTTTTTTTTTTGCGATTATGTTTTTTTTGCGATTATGTTTTTTTAGAGAGTAAATTTTAATTTTGAGATTTGCAGTAAGGCAGTGGGCATATCTTTGTCACTGGTCTTTCAAGAATGCCTTTTGCTGTTTTTAAAGTAACCACGCGTGTAACACGATCATGGCCCGGGTGAATCTCTAAGACTCTTCCAATGCTCCATTTGAGCGGAATTAGATTATCATCCTTTATAAAACAACCGAGTTAATTTCTATTGGAATAGTAGAGTCATTCCATTTAGCTCTTTGTAAAAGTGTTTGAAGGTATTCTTTAGACCATCGGCTCCAAAAGCTTTGGTGCAAGCGTGATATCAACTGCCAGCGAGAGAGATGATTTAATTTTATCCCGGAAAGATCATCTTCCGGAGGGGCGTTTAACGGCTCTAGGGTTAAAAAATGTCCTGGAGTAAGAACTGCCAAATCATTAGGATCAGAGCTTTGTGGACACAATGGACGAGAATTAAGCACTGCTTCTATTTGAACTAGTAGCGTATAAAATACCTCATACGTGAGCAATTGATCACCAATAACCCTTTTAATTTGAGTTTTTACAGACTTTATTCCTGCTTCCCACAGGCCACCAAAATGAGGCGCGCTTGGAGGATTGAAGTGCCAGGAAATTTGTTCTTGCTCAGCGGCGGATTTTAGCATATTAATCAGTTCTCTAGAAGCTCCGACAAAGTTCGTTCCACAATCGGAATAAATATGATTGCAGCGACCTCTACGAGAAATGAATCGACGCAGTGCACCCAGAAAAGTCTCGGAGGAAAGGTCGGAAACCAGTTCTAAGTGCAAAGCTTTCGTGGCCATGCACACAAATAAGCAAATATAGGCTTTACAGGACTCATCACCTCGTGCACGATATCTTAATAAAGAGAATGGACCGCCGTAGTCGCATCCAACTTCAGAGTAAGGTTTTACTTGAGAAAGTCTTACAGCAGGAATATCTCCCATAATAGGAGGCTGAGGCATTACTGGATTAGCGCGAAAGCATTGAGGACATTTAAAGAGAACACTACGAATTGTTTTTCTAGCAGAAACAATCCAGTATTGTTGAGCGAGAATATAGTGAAGAGTTTGGGGGCCGGGATGCAAATAGAGTTTATGAGTATATTCTATGAGTAGAGTAGTAAATTTATGACTATTGGGTAAGAGTGCGGGATGTTTTTGAGAGAAATTAGAGAAGCATTGCGCAAGCGACCACCAACTCTAAGAATTCCATTGGTGTCGAGAAAGGGGGTCAATTTTCGTAAGTATTTAGGTAGAGATTTGCGATTATTTATTAAGAGAATTTCCCTAGCATAATATTGTGATTGAACACATTTAATAATACATTCTAGAGCAGTGATTCCCAAAGTGGTCCAGGTGGACCCCCAGGGGTCCACGGGAGACTTGCTGGGGGTCTACGTAGGCGTGAACAAAAAATGGGGGTCCATAAGATGTTAATGGGGGTCCACGAAAATTTATCTGCTTTTGATAGTAAAGAGCAAAAATGTAAGCATAGTTTTTATAAGGGCCTACCTACATTGTTTTAAGTACCTATCTAAGCAGATAATATTTTAATAAGGCAAGCGACTGTTACTTGTCCAAACTTGCGTATTCGATATTACGTACAATTTCGTGTACAGACTTGCAAAGCGCTATCCGCCCGACAATGCTTAATGCTTGTTCAGACATGAACTTGATCACCACTATAAATACTTGATGCCAAAGGCAAACGCATTCATTTGTTTCCGGAATTTCGAAAAAAGGCGGAATTTGAAAAAAAGTTGTGAGAAAATTTATATCTGTGTTTGCTAGTGCCGGAGAAAAGTAAGTAACCTACCTTTTTGTTATAGTACTTAAGTATTTTGTTTACGTGTACTAGTCGGTTGATCACAACGGCCTGTATAGATAGGTAACTTAGTAACTTACAGATATTTTAATTGTCCTCTTTCGATTTGAAGACAAACACAGCACGTTTTATTCAATTGTTTTTTCACGAGAGAAACACTGCCTCTCTAAAAAGGCCGAATAAGCAATATTGCAGAGCAATTAATTTTGTAATTTTTCTTGCAAATAACTACTAATTTTATAAAACAGTAATTTCATAATCATTTTAAATTGGTTTTGAAGTAACTATTTTATCAAAACTATTCCTTTTCGGAAAGAGCGAGCGGTGCGCGGGCGACGGGAAAAAGGGCGGGGCTTGACTTCGATGCCAGTTTGTCACGCTTTAACAATGAAGCCGCAGACAAAAAATACGCAAATACACGGAGCGCGTGAACTCATTGATTTAATAAAATGTTAGTTATCGTTTTATGGACAATTTTGGGATTTCGACTTTTATTTTTCCTACACAAATATGATCAGTATTCGATACTGAGTACACCAATTTTTATTTATACTATTAAAAATTAGTGGTAAATTATGTACTTTAAAATTGATACCGTTTTGTGAAAACGTCTGTATTTGTCTCAGCGGTTTATTAGTTGGTCCCTTTACAAGCCGTAATTCTATTTCCGCGTGCTGACAAAGGCTGCGGTGTGATACCTATATTCAGAAAAAACTTGGTTACTAAAACATTTTTTTTTACAGGTAAGGTAACTGACACGAAACATGGCTACAGCAAAGAAAAAATGTCGACAATATAGTATCGATTATTTGAAATATGGTTTTGTTCCATCAGAGGCAGACAAACAATTGCCCATGTGCCTATTATGCAACAAAGTTTTGAGCAATGACTCTATGAAACCATCAAAGCTCGAAGATCATCTAAAAAGGTGTCATACTGATAAAATAGGTAAAGATTTAAAATATTTTCAAACATTGAAAGAAAAATATGGAAAGAGACCCACCATGCACAGTATGTTCGCTTCAACATCTCAAAGTAACGATGATGGCTTGCGGGCATCTTACAATATCTCATTACTTATAGCAAAATCTGGAAAACCGCACACTATCGGAGAACAATTAATTTTACCCGCTGTTGAAGAGGTTTTAAAAACTGTTTTGCACAAATCTCCATTTGACGTACTAAAAAGAATTCCATTAAGTAACAATACTGTACAAAGACGCATTGATGAAATGAGCTCTGATATCGAAAGCTTTTTGTGCAATCATCTGCAAAAAACTCATTTTTCTATACAACTGGACGAGTCAACGTTACCCAGTAATGAAGCATTACTATTGGCATATGTCCGATTTATTGTTGAGGAAGAAATTCACGAAGAATTGCTATTTGCCAGAACTTTGGAGACTGACACTAAAGGCGAATCAATATTTAATGTCCTGAGTAATTTTTTTACGGAAAAATCGATCCCATTTACAAACATTATTTCAGTGGCAACAGACGGAGCTCCTGCAATGGTCGGGCGATATCGTGGGTTTATAAGTCATCTCAAAAGAATTATACCAGGACTTACAGCTATTCATTGCGTAATCCACCGACAACATCTTGTGGCAAAACATTTAAGTGACAGGTTGAACCAATCTCTTCATTTTGTAATAAAAGCTGTCAACAAAATCAGAAGCAATGCATTGAATACGCGTTTATTTGCTCAATTGTGCGACGAAAATGATGAAGACTTCCAACGACTGCTCTTACATACTGAAGTACGCTGGTTGTCGAAAGGTGCATGCTTAACGAGATTTTACTCTGTTTTCGATTCCATATTAGAGTTCTTAGAAAGTAGAGATCCAGATTTAAAAGAAAACTTGATCAAATTCAAAGCAGACATTGCGTATTTGACAGATTTGTTTAAAAAATTTAATGATATTAACTTGCAGTTACAAGGGGACAGCCTGAATTTAATAAAAACAAAGGGGATAATTTCGGCTTTTCTTGGGAAATTGAAATTTATGAAGCAAAACATTAGTCGGCGCGAATTCTCTCAATTTCCAAACTTGTCGCAGGTAGAATGTATTGATGAGGATATCCATACCTACAGTCAACATTTAAGTGCTCTGCATGATGACTTCAAAACCAGGTTTGAAGATATACTGACGATGGATATACCACCATGGATCATAAATCCATTTGATGAAACGGAAGTGGCCAATGTTGTATTACAAGAGGAGCTGCTCGAGCTAAGCACTAATGAGGAGCTGAAGGTGAAATTTAGAAAAGGCTACCCAACATTTTGGCTGCAAGCAGAAATACCCGAAAAATATCCTGGACTGTGGGAAATCGCAAGGAAATTTTTAATAGCTTTTCCCTCGTCATACCTTGTCGAAAGGAGTTTTAGTGCCGTTACAAACCTCTTAACAAAAAAAAGAGCAAATTAAACATCACAGAGCGGGGGATTTGCGGTTTATTGCTCACAAAAAATAAAGCCAAACATTGATCGTTTGCTGACACTCCATCAGATACATCCTTCCCATTAATTAAAATTATGACCTGAACCTATATTACCTTAATATTTTTCTTGTAATTCTATTCTTTTAATAAATAAAGTGATATAAAATGTACCATTTTTCGTTTTTATTTTACATATCGGAATATAGGGACAGAACTCAGAAGTGACACAATTTTTATTTTTTGGCGACTTTAAGAATGTGGTAGAAATGTAGCAGCAGGGGGTCCACCGAAACCAGTAAAATTTTGAAAGTGGTCCACGAGAAAAATAAGTTTGGGAACTACTGTTCTAGAGTTTCATTTATTTCAAATTTCTAGAGAGGAGAGGTTTTACGAGATTTAGAATGTCGAGTATTATAGAGAAAGCGTCTGCAAAACGTGACAATATTTATAATTTTAGAGAAAGAAGAGAACTTTTCAAAGAGAGTATCAAACAATGAGGGCTGTGAAGTACATGTCAATATAACTTTTCGTTGTTCTTCTTCAGTTTCAGGGAAAGTAAAAATTGATTGCGGCCAATAAGATTCCGGTTGGCTTAGCCATGGAGGTCCCGCCCACCATAAGGCATTGTCAAGTAACTCACTAGGTTGAAGACCACGAGAACCTGGATCAGCGGGTTTGTCTTTGGAGACTACATGACGCCAACAAGAAGGAGGTAATTTCTCTTGAATTTGGGAAATTCGATTGCTTACAAAGGTGTTCCACTTATATGGTTCACTTTTAAGCCAATGCAAAACAACCATCGAGTCGGACCATGCAATCGTACTAACATTAATAAGTTTATTAGTAAGAGAAGTTCTAACGAAATCAATTAACCTGGTCAGAAGTAAGGCTGCACAGAGTTCCAGTCTTGGAATTGAGATTTTTTTGAGTGGAGCTACTTTGCCTTTAGCGCAGACAAAATTTGTTTTTACAGAGTTATCTGGAAGAATTATCCTGAAATAAATTACTGCACAATAGCCTTTTTCACTAGCATCACAAAAACCATGTACTTCCAGGGATAAATATTTGAGAGTGAGAAAATATCGAGGAACTTTGAGAGAGAAAATACAAGGTAATTCTTGAACGAGTTGATGCCAAGATGTAGCAATGTTATTGGGAGCAGGATCATCCCAATTTATACCTAGCTTCCACAAATCTTGTATAATCAGTTTTATGTGAAGAGTGAGAGGAAAGAACATGCCACAGGGATCGAATATGCTTGCGAGTTGTGAAAGAATATTGCGTTTGTTACAGATTTTGTTTGTCAAGGACAACGCTGGTGAATCAAAGAAAAATTCATCTGTAGAGGGATTCCAGTTTAGTCCTAGAACTTTAGAGGAAGAAAGAGAATTTATATTTAAAGAGAGAGAAGAATCCATTTTGCATTCATTTGGAGATAACTGAGAAAGAAAATCTGAGCTATTCGAAGTCCATTTTCTAAGTTCAAAACCGCTGTGTTTGAGTATAGAAATGAGATCGTGTTGAATTTTTATAGCAAGAGAAACAGAATCGCAACCAGATATAATATCATCGACATACGTATCCATATCTAAAATTTTTGATGCTTCGGGATATTTTACTAAATTTTCTGAAGCAATTTGTTTTATAACTCGAATGGCTAAAAATGGGCTACAGCTTAAACCAAAAGTAACACGAGTAAGTTTGTATTCTTGAATGAGCTCATTAGCGTTAAATCGCCATAAAATTTTGAGGTATTCAGTATGATTTTCATTAACAAGAATTTGACTAAACATTTGTTTAATATCGCTAGCAAATACAATCAAATGCGATCTAAATCGAAGCAAAATAGATAAAATATCTGACTGTAATTTTGGCCCAGTTAAGAGAGTGTCATTCAAAGATTTATTTGTGTAATCTCGAGCGGAAGCATCAAAGACAACTCTAAGTTTGGTCGTGAGACTATCTGGTCGGATTACGCAATGATGAGGCAGATAATAAGAATAAGCGTTGGGAGAAGTATTTTGCACGGCAATCATATATTGAGAATCTAAATATTCACGCATGTAATTAGAATATTGAGAATAAAGTTGGGGGTTTCGAAGCAATCGTTTTTCGAGCGAGAAAAATCTACGAAGGGCGACATCTCTAGAACCTTCAAAGATCGGTTCCAAAGTTTTAAATGGTAAATATACTTTATAACGTCCAGAAAGAGTGCGTGAAAATGTTTTATAAAAGCGTTCTTCGGCAAGCTTTTCATCTGAAGAAAGCGTCGAGGATTGTGGAACGGCCTCTAACTCCCAGAATCTTTGAAGTGATTGATCCAAGGAAGCATAAGAGGTAAGAAAGTATAAGTTTACAGAGTGCGAAACACTAGATGTTTTAACTCTTCCTGTAATTATCCATCCAAATATAGTTTCTAAAGCGACGGGTTGATCTGGATCTGAGAGGAGTTTGTTTCCTGTTATCAAGAAACCATAAATATCTGCGCCCAAAAGTATATCTACGGGTTTAGAGAGGTGAAAGTTGGGATCAGCTATGGGCAATTGAGAAAACTTTGAGAACTGTTCAACGGGAAGAGAATTAATCGGTAAATTATCACTAATTTCATTTAATATGATAAACTCCAAGGAGTAGACCGGATCAGACTTTCCAACAGGTTTAATGTTGCATCTAACACCGTGAGAACCTTTGGAAATATTTTTCCCGATGCCACACAACTGGATGGGGAGGAAAAATTTAGATAAACCTAATTTATTAAAACAAGATTTTGAAATAAAGTGACTTTCACTTCCACTGTCAATTACAGTATTACATGAAAATTACCCCACGCATCTTGAACATTGATTAATGCTGTAGAAAGAAGAGCTTTATTCTTATGTTTTGCAAATAAATTTGTAGATACAACTTCTGAGATAGAGCTGCTTGCTCGCAGAATTGGAAGAGTTTGCGATGAAGTGGATGGAGGAACGTTTACAGGAGTTGTTATTTGACCTTCGAAATGTAAAAGCGAATGATGTTTTTTGCCACAAGTTAGGCATGAGGAACGAGAATTACAACTCTTAGAAGAATGTCTAGTGCCTAGACAGTTTGAGCACCAACTTCGGGATTTAATTAAATCATATCTCTGTTTTGGAGTAAAAGCAATAAAATCTGAACAGTTATAAATAAAATCATCCTTGTTACAAACTTGACAAGTTAAATTTTGTTTCAACTGAGTGTTGACAACAAAGGAAGAGGTAGGTTTATTTTTATAACCTTTTTGAGAATACTTAGTTTTAGTTTTGTCATAATTACTATTTTTATTAAAATGAGAAAACGATTTAGTTAGAGAGATTGTATCTTTAGCTGAACATTGTTTTTCTAAAAATTCAATGAGTGTATCGTATGATATGAGGTATAGCATGTCTTGTGATAAAACAGAGCCACATTCCAGTTCAAAATTAGTTTGCAAAATTTCTGGAAGTCTATCATAAATCATATTAAATAGCACAAAACTCCAGCTCTCTGTGGGAAAACCCAAGTTATTTAAAATTGTAATATTACGAATATAAATATCAATCATATTTCTTAGAGCTTCATGATTATTTTCGTTAGAGATGGGCTTAATATTTTCTAGAGCCTGCCAGTGAGCTTTTGCAATCAAACGTTTCTTATCGTACTTATTTTTTAAGGCTTGATATGCTATATTATAATTTTGATTGGCAAGTGGAGTACTAGATACCAAAGCTAAAGGAGGACCTCGTAAGAAACTCACTAGATAGTTGTATTTCGATATATCACTAAGACATGAGTTACAGCGTATAAGAGAATCAAACATATCGATAAATGTTTGCCAATGTTTAAATTCACCATCAAAATGGGGTACCTCAATTTTAGGAAGTTTTACTGAACATTGAGCAGTAGTGTTTTGTAATTGTGTAGTATCCAGCTCCGATTTCGTTTGCGGAAATAAATTTGTGAATAATGCTTCAATGTGAAAATAATAATCATTAAATTCAGTTCGAATTTTGACATGAGGATCAATATCGCCATTATCCTGTGCGGAAACTAATAAAATTATATTATTATGAATCTTATCAAAAGTTTTATAAATATCTTCTAAGTGTTTTGCTCTACATCTAAAGTTAGGGTGAAAATTTGGATCTTCAAGAACTTGATCAGCGGATTTTTTAAGTTCTTTAATTTTAGTAAGTTCTACAGAGCGTTGAGCTATAAGAGTTTTTAATTTGCGAGCGTCTGCAGACATAACGAAAATGAGTATAATAATTAATTAGAGCGTAAGAGAGAAATGGAATGCTATAATGTGAGAAAATAAAATATTATAGAATATAATAATTAACTGAGAGAGAGAGAGAGAATGATATATTCTACAATAGAATATTATATGAGAAAATAATTATTATATTTTTACTTTATAAGGTGAGAAAATAAAATATTATAGAATATAATAATTAACTTAGAGAGATAGAGAGAGTAATTAACTAAGAGAGTAAGAGAGAAATAGAATAATTAAGTGAGAGAGTGTATGTGTGTGTGTGTGTGTGTGTGTGTGAGAGAGAGAGAGAGAGAGAGACGCAAAATAAACTGGCATATTAACTTCAGATGTATGTAAACAATTATTTTTTATATCTATTATTGCGTTTATTTGAATTAAAAATTCTATACCTACCATCATATTTATGAGAAAAATCAAATAAGTAAAATTTATGAAAACCTTTTGTATTGAAACAACTAAAAATAGGAATATTTATTACTTTATCATGAACTGATATTGCGTGAGCTGTCTTTACTGAAAATGTTTCATTTTTAATATATTTAGAATAAAATTTATATGCTAATTCTGGTTTAATAAAACCTTTTCCACTACCTGTATCTATTAAAACTTTTGCTTTTATATCGGGGATAAAGATAATTGGTAAATTAGAATATTCACTATTATTTAATATTATTACGTTGGGTGTTTTGACGTTGAAGCTTCTGGAAAATTTACATAATTTTTATCATTTTTAGATTGTACTGTATGATTATTAATTTCCTTAAATATTAATGGATTTCCGTTAGGATTGTTTCTATTGTATCTGTTATTTTGGTAATCATTTAAAATTGTATTGCCAGATGAAATATCCATTGGTTCTACTCTATTATTTCTATTAAAATTATTGTTATTAAAGTTATTATTATTTAAGTTAGTAAATCTTCTATTAGCTGAATTTTGTCTATTATTAACGTTATATACATTGCCAGAATTTGATCTAAACTGACCAAAACCTGTAAAATTATTTCGATTAGTATTATTGTTATTATGATTAAAATTATTAAAATTTTGATTACTAAAACGGTTAAAATTATTTCTATTAAAATTTGAATTATGCATTTGTCTATTCTGAAAATTATTATTTAAGTTATTATTTCTAGAAAAATTGTTATTATGTCTTGAAAAATTATTATTATTATTTCTACTCACATTAGCAGTATAATGTGGTTGTCTATTTTTATAATACAAAAAATTTTCTTCTTCTTAAGCATAACTCATTGCCTCTTCGATATTAATAAGATTTTTTAATCTGACAATTAATTGTGTATTATAATTTAAACCATTAATAAATGTTTTTAAAACTAAATTATCATATTCTCTAATTTTTAATATTTTAATTTCTCGCGGATCGTCAGACATATTTATTTTTGAAAATAGTAAACTTCTCATATCTTGCAATCTAATACCAGATTGTTGAGATGATTCGTTTTTATTCGGTCTTAACGTTAATATATCTTGTAAAACACAGTCTATCGATCTTTGATCTGAAAATGTATTTATTATAGCATTTTTTATCGAATTCCAATTATTTAACTCTATTCTAGAATATATTAAATCTGCTGCTCTATTTATTAATTTACTTAAAATTGTGTCTAATAAAAATATATTAATTTCAGAGTTTGGATTATTAGTATCTTGATGATTTTTTCACAAGCGTTAATAAATCTATTAATTTGTTTTGGATTTCCATCAAATTTCGGAATATTATCGGCTTGGAATCTGATTAATTGATAGTGTATTTCAGTCATTGTTATTTTTTAAAATTACTAAATCTTAATCTATACAACTAATTATTATATTTTTAATTATCTAATTATTATATTTTTAATTGTCTTATAAATATTTCTATATTCGTAATTATTAATTTTTCTTAATTAAATTTTAATTTTATTTTGATAATCTTCACAATAATATATTGTAATAATTCAATCAAAAATTCAAAATTTTAAAATCTTTAAAAATATCGCAATTCAAAATGGTTTTTTTTCTTCTAAAAATAAAGTTCACTTATCTTATATTTATAAGCCTTTGGACGATGCTTGTTCCGGACTCGCACCAACAGGACTAGGACTAGGACGATTTTTGTTCCCGTGACCCGCTCTTTAGGCCTGGACTCTGCTTCCTGTGATCCTTCCGAGGATTTTTGTTCTTCGGGATCTGACCTTTGTTTCTGCTGTCTTGAGCCGTTGGACTATGTTTGTTCCTCGGGACTCTTCACCTTTTTGACGTGAGACGATTCTTGTTCTCCTATTGGCCTTTTGGTGTTGTTATTTTCTTCTGGAGTGTTCGGTTGCCTTGGTGAATCGTTAAAACGAACGATCAGTCTTCTTGTTCCAATGGGAATTGGCACTGACCCCAAGATTGCAATTTTGACACTGTTCTGGATTTCTTCCTGAATAGCTTGTTTTTGCTATCCTACCGACAGCCCCAGTTAAATTTTCAAGTTTATTCAAAACATTTAAAAAAAAAAATAAAATTAGAAGTATTCGAGCGAAAATAACTTTTTATTTTTAAACAACAGAATTATAACAAAGATTTTACAGAGAGCAAAAGTCGATTTATTCGTATTACAATGCCTTTTATAAGAAATTATCAAAACGATGCAAAAGAACTAGTTTTTGATGAAATCCTTAAGTATGATGAAAAAGTCTAGAATCTTCTTAGAATTTGTATAGAAAAAGCGTTGTAACACGATGTAATTCAAATCAATATAAATTATTAATAGAACAATGGTATTTAAATGCGTAGAATATAACTTTTGGTGTTTTTTTCAGAAAGTTGTTGTAAAAAAATCAAAAATCTTAAAAAGAAAAGAAAATCATGTACTGCAGTATTACTGAATTTACATTTTCTTTTAAATTAAAAATAGAAAAAAGCAGTTTTTTTTAATTTTCAAATTTATTTTATTTTTTTCAGTGGGTACATTTTTAAAGGAATTCACTTAATCTAATGCCACGCCCTTTCTAATTTGAAGTTCAATAAAACACAAGTTTACTTAATGCAGAATGAGTTACATAGAGGCCACTAGCTTTTTAATTTTAACAGCCGGGTGGTCGGGGTTCAAAGATATCAATAAAAGGGCGCCACCAGATTATACTCTATGAACTCGGCAATAAAGATGTAACTATTAAGTAGATTTCAACACTAACCTCGAACTGTTGAGTGCAACTACCATGAACTTCAAATATGCTATAACTCATTAAACTTAAGTGACTCTAACTTAACTATGAGACTAGACTGCAAATAATAATAAAATATTAAAAGTTAATATTTAAAGAAATGGAAACGAATAAAAGTTGAAAAGTAGAATAAAATTTAAATCAAGAAAACTAACTAAAAGTATGACGTCATAATCCCCCTTACTTAAACTAAGTACAAAATCCTGGGTGGATTACAAATATCAAATCTAAAATTATACTAATCTAAACAGTCTTACTCCAAGGGTTGTATAAACTTGAAACAACTCGGAAGTTCCTCCGGCTGAGCTATGGTGTATAGCTATGGGTGGCTACGACGGTGTACAGCAGCTCGATGTGATGTCACTGGAGCCCACGGATGTCAGCAGACGTACGGGTGCCGGCCAGGTGTAGGACTTCAAAAGGTGAACATAAAAAACCTTAAATAACATTGGTTGTCTTAGAAAGGTGCCTCAATTATAGAACAAGGACTAGCACAACGTGTAGGAGTTAATAAAGGTAATAAAGAAGGACTAAGCAAATTTGAACTTTACCTCAACGAGGGTTTATGATGTCCAACGGGTACCTCTACACGGACAACAGGATGGAATTCTGGACTGTTCTGTGTACTACTGTCTGGATCGGTCTTCTTGCTCTACAATTACGAACAACCAAATAAGACTTAAGAAAGATAACACTCAACTAATCTTTCTACACCACGTGGGCGTGGAAAAGTCGAAAACCAGTCAACAATATGAACAAAAATCAGTTGAGCATTGACTTAGAATAGGCAGAAGAATTATAGCATACCTTGGAACTATTCGGGGACTTCTTGGGCACGTGGAATCGGAATATCGGTCGGAGAATTTGGCTATTTAATCCCTTACGGAAATTGGCCGGTGGTCCATGTCAACTCAACAAAATCCAACCACGTCTCTGACCAAATGTGTTTCGGAAGCCTTAATCCTTCTTTACGAAGACCTGCTATTCACCAACAGGGAATGCTTCACGAAACGGCAGCCAGTTCTTCACGACGATATTCTGACGGTGGATACACAAGAAGTGATCCAAGGATTCGATTTCTTTCACAAAATCAGATTTCAACCGGAAACCTCCCTCCAGGATATAGATAGAGAACTATATATCTTGACTAGTCCAACTCACAAAAAGGCATAAATAAAAAATGATGTTTTCTCTTCAGCCATATTCCATAGCCGGTCAATGAACGAACTAAACTCAGAAATTCCACAATTAAAAGAACGAATTGCACACTGCGATCCACATCAAAAATAACCAATTTAACTACGAAATTTTATCTGATAATTATAAAATTTCAATAACCAAAACAAAGGATAAATAAATCCAAAAACATTTGATTTGATCTGACAGTGACAAGTGACGGAGGTGATGGTCAAAGATATAGAGAGATGGACAAAAAGCCTACAGCTGGTCGGCATCAGTGACAATATATGTAGAATATCGCGGTGTATATCGGGTTGCATAATCGTAAAATTTAAATAAAATAATATTTAACAATAAAATTATAGTAAACATGATGCAAAAACAACAGCCACCTGCGCCAATTTATGAGCCAGCACACAGAGGTCGTTGCGAGGAAATTTGACTGTTACACTAACATCTGAAATAAACTGGTTTTCTTTATTTTTCATCAAGCACAATTAAATTGAGAAAAATAGGATGCCGTATTGTCCGAAGAAAGTAATACCTGTTCACTTCACAATCATCATGATGAAC